CCAAAATGGCAAATTAAAATGTGATTTCAAAAACTATTCTCACTTAAAAAGCGACACTTTGTGTCCTTGCATCAATATGTATGATGATAGCCGCACTAATTTCTTGGCAATGATCACAGTATCTTCTATGGTTCTTCTAAAAATTGACATTTGTATTAGCTTGTATTGGCACTGCGTACTAAAGGGGTTGCACCAAGTTTAGGTTTTAGTTTAATTACTTTCATGCCACACAAGTAAAAACAAACAGAATGCGTATGTGCACATGTTTACAGAATGTAAAACACAAGTTCATGTACCAGAGAGAGCGGGTGTGTTAAGGTCTGGAACATTAATCTCTGGGGGAACAATGATGGGAGGAATGGGTAAGTCGACTTTGTCATCCTCAGATCCCCATCGACTCTTCCTCTTCCGTTTAACAGGAGGAGTGTCTGTCTCCTGAATGTGCTGTAGAGACGCAGGGTTCAGCGGTGGAGGGATTACTGGCAATGGTGGTGCAGCTTGTCGCTGAAAGTCTATCCTCGACTCTGCTGCTGGAGGCGAAGAGCACTGGGGGGCTGCGGCACGATACTCATGTAATTTCTCTTTGTAGAAGTGATAGGCCGGATTTTGGTGGTCATATAAAAAACTGAAGCACAGACAGCAGATATTTTGTGTGAGACAAATGAGACATTAAAAAGTGTCAAGATTAGAAAACACAGTCACATATACAGTGGCTGACCTGAGGGCAGGGTTGTCTCGGTTGCGCTCAGCAGCGATAGCTTCCAGCTCGGGACCACCCTCCGCCACAAACCTGGCCAGCTTCTCAGCCACCTGCTGGGTCTCCGCGTCCACTGGGGGGGAGACTTTAAGCAGCCTATCAGTACTGGGACTCAATTCACACTATACTACTGTACCGTACTCAACTGGCCCTCACACACCACCAGTCTAGAGCTAATAGGGGATAAGAAGAGGAAGGAGGGAGGAGGAGTAAGGGGGGAAAAGGGTGGTGAATGGGGAACTATATAGATGTGAGGCTTTTACAAATAAAGACCATATAAAGCCCAGACATGCTCCACTACATATAGTATGCATGCACTCTGAAACTTGTATCTGCATGTATACTTCTGTGCATAAACGAAAGAAAAAAAACTAGAATCTTTAGTCCATCTTTAAAATTGTAATATGATTTAATTAGGAGCAATATAGACAAAATTGTGTTCATTGGCTGAAGTGTAGTGCACTATTTAGTCCAATCAAAAAACTGATTTATTAACTCTTGTGTTATATTAAAACAGAAGAAGCCATGACCTTTATATATGTAGAATCCTTGACTAGAAATGGTTTTTGTGTGGTCTTGAAGCCAGTGTCTTTTTATATGCAACTGAATACTGAATCAAAGAAGACCTTAAAGAAGAGTCACATGGGTATGTTATTACATTTTAATGAATAAGACAGTAAGCGATTCTTCTGCCCATAAAGTTAACAGGCAAGGTTAAATTGGTCCATTGTGCTTAATGTTCTAGTTTGGGGAAACAGTAATAATGGCACATTTACTGTAGTTAGTGGGACTACACCGTGCTATTAAGAAACAGGGTTTCACACGTTGTGTTAACTGCCAATTATGTTTGCAAAAGGGGTGGACAGTGTGTCGATATAGCCTCGTCAATTTCAATTAAATTTTAGTATGTCTGACAGGAAAGGCGAGACAAACAAAACAGAGACAAAAGACAGCGTTTGAGATTAGGTAATCTTACCATTATCTGATGTATTCTCAGGTCTTAGCAAATCCTTTCTCAAATGTGCAACTCTTTTTTTGTAGTAGAGATACTCCAAGCTGCTCTTATCATATAAAAATCTGAAAGGCAAACAGTTTAAATCAGATGAGTTTAAAAATACAGTACAAGTAACTATATACAAGTACTATAGCTACAAACTTACGAGAAAATGGGATTGTCCTTGTAGTCCTCCTTGGCCTTTCTCTCCAGCTCAGGTCCTCCCTCCGCCACAAAAGAGGCCATCTTGTCGATAATGAGTCTGGTGTCTGAATCCTCTGGGGGAGAGACTTTAAGCAGGCTATGAGTACATTTACTCTAAGGGCACCTATGACAAAATGCCAGTCACAAGGCAACTGCGCCACTGGAGTAGGCAGAAGATGCACTGAAATGTCCAAGCCATGGAGTTGTCCAGAGATACACTGAAAAACACAGGCCTTGAATTACCTTTCATCTCTAAGAATTTGGAGTAATCAGCCTCTTCTTCCTCATCTTCATCTTCTGGAGAACAAAACACACTCGGCCTCTGGCTGAGAACGGGATTCTTCTTGGACTGTGAGTAGTTCTTGAACTGACTGAGCATGCTACTGACTCCAAGGCCAGGCCGCTTGCCAACAAGAATGCTCTTTTTCTGCAGTGCGTTTCCTCCTGATGAAGTTGAGGTTGAGGGAGTTTTGGTATCACTGGTGGAACCTAGAAAGAGTTTTTTATTTTTTTATTTAAACAATCTAGAAATAGCCTTCAGGTAAATACTATTATACACTCTGCAAAAGATGGTAAGGACTCTTGCTCAACCAGAATATTTGGCAGTAACCAACACAAGCAAATAAAGTTAGGCAATATTCATGATCCCTATTCTAAACTAGATTCCTTGGGTCAGGATGTCCTCTTTAAAAAACCTCTACCTCCCACAAACTGTACTGCTGTCAAGGACTTATTGTTGACAGCCTGAAGCCTCTTCATCTGTGTTTTACATAAGCCAAAACTACAAGGTCACAGCTATTATTCTGTATCTGTATGTATGCAAGTGTTTCTGTTGGTGTGTTAAATTTCACTAAACAACATTACAATGATATATATTCACTGCGATAAAACAAAACCTTTTAGTAAAAACTGGGCAGATCAAGGTACTAACCCGACACATTGTTGGACTTGTCTTTCTGCATCCTCATGAACTGCTGTAAGAAGCTTCCATCATTTGCGAACTTGTTTGAAGAAGCTCCTTGGAGACTGGGCGAACTTCTGGGATCAAACAAAATATTTGTTATTATTTTAGGTCAAAGTTGGGGTCAAAGAAAACATTCATGCATAACAAAGCTGACAGCACCAGGCTTTACTGTACTTTAAAAAAGAAAATGATTTCTATATGTTGACTGTTTGCTGAGATTTATTAGCAGATCCTTAAGTATATAGTTACATTGGAGGCAGGGGTTTGCTTGGGGTTTGCACATTCATTTTGGCTTGCTCTGCCATTCTGGCCTCAATCTCTTTCTTCTTCTGAGCTATCAGCTTCTCTTGACGGAGAATATTCATGTTCATCTTGTTCTTCTGTGGCTGGACAGGCTTAGACCTCCATCCTCCTCGCCCTAAAACAGATTAAAGGGAAAAAAGGCAGTATGTGACAACAATGAGCATGTTAGGTAGCAGTGGAGCATGCAGTTGTCTGGTATCCATCCTATGACATTTGTGTCCCAATGATTGGAAGTTTCTGGGGTTTAACTTCAGAAAGGCAGATACATATGTTATTTTTATATATAATATTCCAACCATGCATTGCAAACTAACCTCAGCAAACAAGAAAGCTTAGCTAAATCGAACAGCAAAAACAACTTCTAACAGCTGTTAAGACTTTTAACTGGGGTTAAAAAGGCGATATGTCATTACATGTGTATATTACAGGTTGCAGACTTTAGGAAGGTTGGGTTTTCCTTCTCTTAAGTATACATTGCGTTTATGCACATTGTCGTGTTTGAAAACTACCTTGTTTAGCTTAGCTCACAGCTAACAGCTAGCCAACGTTGTACACTGGTTATATGCCAGCAGACTAGATTTCTACGACTACATAAGCTAGCTCAGTAAGGCTAACAGCTCTCCCTGCTAACGTAAGTGTTTGCTAAGGGCAGCTTCTAGTTACATATTTAGAGTTAGCATCTCGTTCAAATTCACAGTAAAGATTTACCCGCATCGCTAGACTCCATGGTCGTAACAGGATTAAATATATGTTTCGAAAACACCGCTAACGGACTGCAATAAGGCCTTTTACTGCTACCGTAGTAGCTGACTTTGAAGCAGCTGAGTTAGCTACCGAAAACAAGAACAACACTTCCGGTTGTAGTTTTTTCAAAATAAGAGCACAACCTCTACAGGACCCCGGACACGGACAAAACACTGCATTTTACACAAAAGCCAAACAATTATCACCCCGTTCCTTAACAATTCTGCTTAAAAATAATCATAAAATAATGTAACCCACTCAAATGCACATTGTAAAATCAGACGGTTGACCCAAGTCCCTGAAATTGCTCTTGAGACAGTCTCAATACTTTGACTCCATAACATTATCAGAGTATTTTCCATTGTGACAGGCCCAACATTTTGAGAAAACACACATACTGACACCATTAGTGTAGTGATGTTGTTTTGAATTGCATTATGTAAAGATGTTTCTAATATGTTGTCCCCATCATGTATGTAAACACACACACCACATCACACAAAACTAGCATTTGAAGCACAGTCTTCAAAGAAACTGTCCTATGTGTTCACTGTATTCTCAAAATGTCTCAGGAATGGCTGAAAATGTTATTGTATATTAAATGTATACATGTATATTTTAGTGTTTTCTGTGGAAAGACCTGACATCCAATGACAGAAAGACTGCACAGTGTCCAATTGTGTTCTGAATTACTTCTGCTCAGCCTCTACAGTTCAAACTATAATTAAAATGTGTTTTATGTCAGTAAGCTATTTTAAATGTCACATTATTTGTGATAACCGAATAGAATTAAAACATCTTTTCATGTTGGATTTCCTCGCTCTTATTTGAAGGGAAAATATGAAACCGGAAGTCTTCGTCTACTATTTTTGTTCTAGCTACCATGGTAACGTTACGTTTCCGTTTCCACTGGTCTTTCCCATCGCAAAAAGTCAGGTTTTGTTGTCCCTTGTTGCTTCCCGTCCGTACCGTACGAACTAGTCTCCTGCTTAGAAATGGCTGAAGCTCCTCCACGGCCCTGCCGGTTTTTTTGTCACCGGTGTTCAGCAGAGATTAGTCCGCGTTTACCGGTAAGGACCTAAGAGTGAGACGTTTTATTTGGGCTTGTGTGATTTCGCGTGTGTGTGTGTGTGTG